GCTTCCCAAAGCACCAGAGCAAGCATCAGAGGTACCCACAGTTGAGCTGACTCTCCACGGTGGGGGATGTATGGGGGAGGAGCAGGCATTGTGGCGGGCACCTGCAGTCCCAGCTACTTGGGAGGCTGAGGCAAGAGAATCGCCTAAGCCCAGGAGTTAGAGGTTGCTGTGAGCTGTGATGCCGCAGCACGCAGCACGCTACCGAGGGTGATTAAAAAAAAAAAGAAGAAGAAGTGGGGAGGAGGAAGGGAAAGGGCAAACTTGGTGGGACATGGGGGGTGAGTACCAGCTGAGTGTGGAGGGAAGGGGAATTCAGGAAGGGGCTGGCAAAGCTGATGGGGCTGGGAGCTTGAAATGGATGCTCCAGGCAGTGGAGCAGGAGGAGAGTCCCAGAGGAGTTTCCAGCAGAGCAGAAGACCGGCCGATAGTGAGATTTTTAGACCATGTCTAGGGAGCCACACCCTGGCTGGCGCTGGGGGAAAATGGAGAGAGAAGGTTAAGGGGAGATAGCCTGTGGGAGGATCGCAGTACTGAATGCTGTAGGCAGAGGGGACGAGGGAGATTCTGGACCTTCAGTGGAGGTAAACAGGATGCAGAACAAGAAGGTAGGGTTTGCAGGAAAGGATGATGAATTTGGCTTTGAGGTGTCCACTGGGCTCCCAGGAGACCATCCTGGCAGCTGGGTCTGCAGGATGTGGGCTTCAGGGGGGATGAAGCTGGAGATAGTGGTTTAGGGTTACCTGCAACTGTGGCTTATTGGGAATCACGACTGAGGTGACTAGTCCTCATAGATGAGGCACCTGAGGTTCCCCCCAAGAACCAAGCTCCCTCATCAGCTTTCATGTGGAGAGTGTGGTCCAATTTGAAGCCAGCCTCAGATACTCCTCTTGGGTAGGAAGCAAGGGACCAACCAGAGGTAGGGGCAGTCACTCTGGGCTTTCCAGCTCTTCCTCCACAGACTGACCTCTGCCCTCTCCATGTGCAACCTCAGTGCCAGCCACAGTGCCCACTCCCCTTCCATTCTGGGAAATGGAGTGTGCCTGCTGCTCAGTGTCTGCCACCTCCCACTCACAGCCTCCCAGCAGCCGGGCAGCAGGAATCCCCCTTCCTCTAGCTGGAGCAGGGAGATATGAGAGCCAGCCCTCTGCTGTTACCAGGGACCTGGAGACAAAAAAGGCCAGGAAATGGGAGTGATCCCTGTCTAGGATGAGCACCCTGGTGGGTTCCTCAGTGCCTCATGTACCCTAGTGACACACTTGCCTCTGTCTTCTCCTGTGGGCTAGAAGGCTGGGGCCATCTGCCCTGCTCCTCCTTGAGCTCCTACTGTGTGCCAGGCACTGTGCTGGGTGCCAGGACAGAGGGGCGCACAGCAGATGCCACCTCTGTCCTCAGCATCTCCAGACTAGTAGGAAAGGCAGTTGGTAATGCAAACAACACATCCAGTCTGGGGCAGTTTTCAGACAATGTTTAACCAAGTTGCTGGGCACATGGGCAGGTGGGGAAGGGAAGAATTGCTGAGGACACACCCTGGAGCTGAGCTCTGACAAGGAGGAGAGTTGACTTGACAATAAGGACAGGGAACAGCATTCTAGACATAGGGAACAGCATAGGCAGGGACCTTGTGGTAGGAGGGAGCCCCAGGCATTTCATGAGACAGAAGATGCCATTATGGTAGGAGGACAAGGGAGAGCCCAGTGCAGGCTGCAGAGGGCCCTTGCTAGGTGCTTGGCTAATAGACTGGGTGACACCAGGCAGCTGTCTAGAAGATAGGCTAGCTGGGGGTCAAGGCAACTATCTGGCTCTGTGGCTTTTTTTTTTTTTTTTGGTAGAGATGGGGTCTCCCTCTATCACCCTACCTAGAGTTCAGTGGCATCATCGTAGCTCACTGCAACTTCAAACTCCTGGTTCATGTGATCCTCCTACTGTAGACTCCCTAGTAGCTGGGACTATAGGCACATGCCACCACATTGGGCTAATTTTTCTACTTTTGATTTTAGAGATGGGGTCTTGCTGTGTTGCCCAGGCTGATCTCAAACTCCTGGCCTCAAGTGATTCTCCCACCTCAGACTTCCAAAGCACTGGGATTATAGACATGAGCCACCATGCCCAGCTGAACTCTGTGGCCTTAAGCAAGATGCTTCCCCTCTTTAGGGGAATAAGTCAGGATGCGCTCACTCACTATACTCTGAGCCTTGCAGTTTGCACAGCCTTTGCCCTAGCTGTCCCATCTCCCCTTCTGCATGTCATTCGGACCATAGTGTGGACGTCACCTCTCCAGACACCACCCTGACCACTCACATTGCCTGGCTCTCTCACTTTATTACATAACCAACCCTGCTTTATTTTTGCTGAGCCTTTACTGCACTCTCAGATGCTCCTATTGGTTCTTTTGTCTGTCTGTTGTCTGTCTGCCCCTTGCCCCGGACTTCTGTGCCTTTAGGGACTCATGAAACTGTCAGCCAAGTTACAGAGGCAGAGGAAGATGCTCCTGCCCTGGAGTCCCACTGGCCTGAATTCAACTGTGCCTATCCCCAGTTAACTTGCTCTGAAGATGCAGGCAAGCCCACTCAAAGTCTCCAATCCTTAGTCTTCTCATCTGCAAAATGGATCATCATATCTGTTGCAGAGAGTTCCACATCAGGCCCTCCCCCACATCAATGTTAAGCTCTGTTCCTGTCTTGTCTCCTGTTCTGCCTGCCATTTCAGGAAGTAGGGGTGGTCAGGCACTGATCCAGGTCAAGTTCATCTGCTTCTATGAGCCCTTGCTGTGTAACTCTTGGCTCAGCATGTCATCGGCCTTTAGGTGCTGATCCTGGGCATTGTGAAGGGAGCCCAGTTTGGAGGGAGTAAAATGGGAACCCTAAGTCCTTGGGGCTCCCCAGGAAGCAGTTTTAAGCACATATCAGATCACAGGCCCTGTCTGAGGCAAGTACTGTTATTCTCTCTCTCTCTCTCTCTCTCTTTTTTTTTTTTGTAGAGACAGAGTCTCACTTTATGGCCCTTGGTAGAGTTCTGTGGTGTCACACTGCTCATAGCAACCTCCAACTCCTGGGCTTAGGTGACTCAGCCTCCTGAGTAGCTGGGACTGCAGGCGCCCACCACAACACCCGGCTAAGAACTATTATTCTTTTGTCCATTTCACAGATGAGTAACCAAAAGCCCAGAGACAGTAAGCAATTTGCCCAAGGTCACCCAGCTAGAAGAGATGGGGCTAAGAAAGGATCTTGAACTCTGCCACATTTGTCAGAATCAAACACTGCTTCCACCTGCACTAGGCACACACAGCCAGTGCTTTGTACTCACTGTACGTCAGGCAGGGTACTGGTGGCAGGAGTATGGCTGTAACCTCAAATGTTCATTCATCCCACAAATGTTCAGGGCACCTGCCATGTTCTAGGCAGTATATGTGCTCATGTTCTCCTGGGATGATTCATGAACATATATGATGGGATACATTGGAACACACCTACACATGAACAAGTATGGAAATATGTACAGAGATACACCCAGATATCCATGCACACACACATACATACTAAATACATTTACAGAATAAGCACCCATTAGGATGCTGACATGTAGGCTTAAAGATGAGGCAAGAAAAATACATATGCAACACACATTACCACACAACCCGCATCAGGACACACACACACACACACCAGCCACACACCCACAGGAGCTGGGGCACCCCTCACGTTCCAGCCCCCCTCTTGCTATCACATCCCAACATCCTTCATCCCCGATGTCTCAAGGAAGACCCATTCAACCTTAAAAAATGGCTTGTCTATGTTTGAGACATCCTCATATTCAGAGTCCCCAGATAACTAGAACATGTGACTTTCCTTCTTGGACAGAGCAAGGGCCTCCAATGCACCCCCAGGTCATGAACACTTTTGGCCTTGGCACCTGGGGACCTTCTTTCTCTATGAGGCTGCCCCGCCCTCGCCCTAATCCTTTCCCACAAGGCAGCAGAGACACAGGGACTTTAGAAATCAGGCAAGTTTTAAATATAGGTTGGCACAATATTATCATTAAATACACATCATAAATAAGCATTATAAATATAAAACTGATAAAAATTGATAAATTAATCATGTCCCTCTAAGGAACTGGTCCGGTAGCTTCAAGAACCTGCTCCCAGAGGGCTATGGTTTCAGTCTGAGAAAATTCCATGATGCACCACCAGGGGGAGGACTCAGCTTCGAGGCCCCAAAGTTGGGCTTGCAGACGCTGGGAGGTCTCCCACCAGCCCATTGCCATTTGCACTAGAGGTCCAGATTTACGGAGAATCTGATAGCCACCTTCTGTCACAGAGTCCCAGAAACAGACATAGTGGGCCTTCATGGTCCCCAACTCCCTGGCTGCATAGAGAGAAAACTGAGGTCTAGAGAGGTAAAATGAATCACCTGAGGTCACATAGCAAGTTAGGGGCTGGGCTGGGACCTGAGTCCCCTTCACTGGACCTTCATATCAGTTCTCCTTCCAGGACACCTGGCCCCTGGTACAGCTGCCTAAAGTGAGGTCCCCCAGACATCCAGGTGTCTGGCCTGAGACTGGGTGAGGCATAGTATGCCAGCTCAGGCCATGACCTCCCCTTCAGAACCATGTAAAGGAGGAAGTCTGGGGGCATTAGCCCTGCAAGTCATGCGAGGGAAGGGCCAGCAAGGCCTCTGGGGAGCAAAGTAGGGGGGGCAGTCAGCCCAGCTGTGAGTCAGCCTGTGTCATCAGACCCCTGAATCAATGGAAAGTCGGCCCCGCGTGGCCTGACCTGGCCACCCCACTGGGACTGGGGAACCCAGGACTAGGGAGTACAGCAGCCTAACTCTACCCTACTCCCAGCCTGGAGAAGGTGGAAGGGGCCTGTCCAGCTCCCACCCCTTAAAGTGCACTTCTGAGATGGGGGGAGTAGAGGGAGCAGGTTTGTGTCCTCCTGCCATAGCCCCTCACATCCTCAGAGCACCTGCTGCATCCTCCACCTGCAAGGGGTACTCCTGAGGTTAGTGGAGTAGCTGGCCCCTGGGTGTGAGTCTCTTGCCTTTGCTGGAGGGTCTGGTTCTGTGGGCCCCCTTCTGCAGGGCCCGGCGGGGCCTATGTCTCCGGCTCCGGCTTGGACTCTCCCCCCAGTCACTGAAGACCTGCCCCACTGAGCGCATGAAGCGATGGTAGCCGTCCAGGAACCTGCAGCCCTCCAGCTTGCGCTGAAAGGCATCCGGGATGGGGGTTGGTGGCAGTGAGGTCCCCGGGCCTGTCTGAGTGGGCTCTGATGCATCCTGGGAGCTGCCAAGCAGCCGGGACATGCAGTAGATGTTGTTCCTGAGCCCCTGGATGTTCAGCCTTGCCATCTTCAGTGTCTGCAAGTCCTGGGTGTTCTGCCTTGCCATCGGCAGATTCTCCAAGTCCTGGGCCTCAGGGAGGTGCCGCTGTAAGGCAGCAAGTCTGTGCAGGACAAGGCTCAGTGTGGCATCGAGGGTCCTCAGAAAGGCCTGCTGGCCCAGCCCCCGTAGGGCATTGTTGCTGGGGAAGGCCCCGGGGCGTTCCTTGCAATGCTCTCTCAGCCTAGGGAAGTTTAGGCCCTGGATGCGCATCTGGGGAGAATGGGAAAATCAGGGTGTGAGCACTGGGGACCTCTACCACACAAACACATACAAACACACACACACAGATAAGTCTACTCTGGTGGGCCTTGAAATGTAAACCTCATGCACCCCTGTTCAATCTGCCTGTTGTACAGGTCCAGGAACTGAAGCCCTAGCGGGCAGAGGACTGGCAAGATCACTACAGGCAGGGTTGAAGGGATGTTGGGGGGCTGGCAGGGGTGACTGCACAGGTAGTGATTGTGCAGTAGGGTGACTGTGTGAGGGTGTCAGTAGGGAGTGATGAGTTTCAAGAGGGCTGGACTCCATTTTGCTCACTGCCATGTCCTAGTACATGGAACAAAGCATGTGGCAGGTGAGCAGTGAATACCTGCAGGACAAGAGCTGAACCAGGCAGTGGCATTCGCGCTCTGGGCCCATGGGGCTAGGGAAGCTGTATGCATCCTTAGCTTTTCAGGGTTGGGGCTGGAACAACATGGGACTCAGCTTCCCCTTTACCCCTATATTGAGGGAGGGGTTGGGCCTGGCTCTCCCAGGGGCTCCCTCCCTTCCTGACTCTAGCAGTTCTCTGAGACTCAAATGCTGCCACAGGGCTCAAGTGCTCACATAGGGGTCCAGGAGTGTGCTGGGGTCCTGCGTGGAGTTTGCCTGCTTCTGGAGCTGGCTGAGGAGTGCATGGTAATCTTCCCGGCAGCGGCCCATAGCCATCATACTTGAAAACAGGAGTCCAAGGACCAGACCTGGGGCAGAGAAGGGAAGTGTTACTTGGCCAGGAAGCCACAGGTAGGAGCCTGGGGGTGGGGGTCACCAGGGCCTGGAAGGTGCTTCCCTTCATGCCAGGCTTTGTGCAGCCATGGGCAGGGGCTGGGCACCGTGAGGCGCTGTATGCACAGAAATGCCTACTAGGGCCACTACCACCTCCCCAGTGAGTCACTGCCCAGGACTCAAGACAGGAGTGGGAGGGGCAGGAGCCCAGGATAGTGCTATTTACCGAATAGGTCTTTTTGTGGAAGGTACAGTGCCTAGCTGGAGCTCAGTCCTGCTGACACCACGTACCAACCTCAGGAACTGACACCAGGTGGCAGGTGGGCCTGTCTCTCCACAAGACCTTGGGGATAAGGGGCAGCCACTGCCCCAGGACCCTGCCTTGTCAACTACCCTGGGCCACCAGTAACAGACCCTGGCCCTCCATTAAGGTGGGCTTAAGAGGGCTTTGGGGCAGGCAGCCCAGCAGCAGCCATTGCCCTGAGCTCTGTTTGCAGAACCAGGAGAGGCTGCCTTTCCATGCAAGGTCTCAGTCTGGGTGGGATGTGTGAGACTTGTTTGACTGACAGGTGAACCTATGTGCTGGAGAAGAGCTTGCCCAGGTCACTGAGGCTCGTGCTCTCCCTGACCTTACATGTCTCTCCAGGGGCCAGGGATGCTGTGAACCCACCAGAAGTTTCCAGGGGGCAGCACAGTTATCGCTCACCAACCCCCTTCCCCACTGGGCACCGGCAGCCACGTGGTCGGAAGGGGCCTGTGGCGCAATGTCCCGGAAGGCAGTGACACCATCGTTCCCCTCCTAAGAACCATCCGGCCCCTTGAGGAAGACTGACTTCTGGGCAGGGCAGAGGGGTTGGTGCCCAGGCATAATGACCCAAGGTCACCCTTGCTGCTGCCCCAGGTACTCACTGCTGGGCTCTGGGTAGGGGCCCGTGTGTGAGTGGGGTGTGTGTGTGTGCAGCAGCCTGCACATGGGACTAGGGTGTCTGCATGGCTGCATGTCTGGGTCTGTGTGAGGCACTGGAGGGAGCAACCACTCCATTCACCCCAGGGCCCTGAGCTGCATGTGGGGGTTCCCAGGTTGGCATCACATGGCTCTGTGTATGCATTGCTGGGTGGGTGTGGCTGTGTTTGCTGTGTGATTGTGAGGGCTCCAGGACCCCCAACTTGGCTGGCTTTCTATCCATCCCAGAGCCCCACATCCCTGTTCCCTGCCTAGCTCCTGCAGCTCCCTTCCTTGTCTTTCCCATCTGCACCTCCTTCCTGCTCCCCCACCTCATCCCAATGCATCTTCATCCCTCACCCACCCCCCACTCCCAGAGTTGCCTGTATATCACCTCCCCCTGGAAGCCTTCCAGGGGTACTCCTTCCCCACCTGTAGGGATGCTGGGTTCTCAGTGGACCACTCCCTCTGTCTGACCCCCTGTCCTTCTCCCCTTCTCAGCATCCTTCTGCCTGGTGCCTGGCCTCCCCAGCTCCCAGAGAGCAGAAGGTACCCCTGCTGCCTGCTGGCACCTGTGGGCTCGCCAGTAGGGTGCTGGTGAGGAGGAAGGAAGTACTTACTGAGCAGCGTCCTCTGTGTGATCAGTGCCCGCATGCTGGGTGCCCGTGCTCTGGCCCGCGCCTGCTAGGGGTGACACCTCACGGCTGGGAGCCCTGCGGGCTGGCAGCCACTTTATGCCCGCTAGGGCGATTGGCCAACACCTCGTGAGGTGGGGGGGGAGGGGAGAGGGCAGGCCTTCTGGGAACCCCCCAAACCAAAATTTCCATGGCAGCCAATGGGCGGTGGTACGCCCGCTCCTCCTCCTGTTTTCTTCGAATTCGTTCTTCGAGGTCAGCCCCACGCCCAAGGATGATGTAAACCACAAACCCAGCCTTCCTGGGCAAACGTGAAGAAAGAGGGGTCTGTGCCATCTTTGGGGGGCTGAGCCCAGGATGGGCAGGAGGGACTGTGAGCTGGCCCTCTGGAGATCCCAGGCCAGTCTCTGTCCAGGAGCCATTGGCCTTGCAGGACCCAGGCTTGGGTTTGAGGAGAGCAAGACATCTTCCTTCTTAAGTGCCCTTCCCACCCTCTTGCTGGGGCTGTTGGGACATCTGTGAGCGGAAACCACTGGGCTCCGGGCACAGAGCCAGACCCAGGCTGGCAGCCCTGAGATTGTGGTTCTGGCCCCAGGACCAGCATCCCCCAGCCTGTCTTCCAGCTGTCCCCTCTCCTTCAGGGTGCATCCCTTACCAGCCTTCCCCATCCTGGGCCCACAGCCCAAAGCCTGGTTCTTTCTCTGTAGTGTCCTCTGGGGAGAACTGGGCACTTGAAGCAAGAAAAACAGACCAGGGGTCAAGCCCACTGATGTGCTGTATGACCTCAGGCAAGTCATTTAACCTCTCTGGGCCTCAGAGGCCCCACTTGTCAAATGAGGAGGGGAAAAACATTTCCCGGCCCACTATACAGAGCGGCTGCCATCATGGACATAAAAGGCAAAAAGCCTTTGAAGAAAAAATGAAAATCGAATTCCAGGTACTAGCTTTCTGGGGTGGGAGTGGTAAGATTTGGGGTGTAATCTGGGTTGGAGAAGATGGGGAAGCTGTGAGCTCAGAGGGGAAGCCAGGAGGGGGAGTTGCCTCTGTGACGGTTGGGGACCAGGTTTCACTTTCTCTGAAAGATAGTGATCGTGGGTTTGTCCTCTGCTTCTTGAAGATTTATCTGAGCTCAAAATGAAGGGCCCCTGGAAACAGTGCCTCCCTGGTCAACCTGCTATTTTTCTGCGGGGTAAACTGAGGCCTGTGTGAAGGCCGACAAGGTGAGGGAGAGGGTTTGGCCATGCTTGGGGGTCTCAGAGCATCCACCAGGTCCAGAAGAGCATTTTTAGCCTGCACTCTGATAGCCTGGCTGGGAGAAGGCCTCAGAAGGGTGGGGAGTCAGGGCAAGGCCCCTAAGGACTGCCAGGGTCATGACCTGCTCTGGCTAGAGAGAGCACTGGGCCTGCAAAGCCCAGACAAAGAAAGCTGAGATAGCCAGAAAGGAACGGGACTGGAGGCACCTGTCGCTGCACTCCCCTGATGCCCGGCATGTCCACCAAGGCTGTTCCAATCCGGTCTCCACCACTGTAGATGTGCCCACCATTACTCATTTATTCATTCAACAAACCTTTATTTGGCCCACTCTGGGCCAGCTGCTCCCAGGTGCTGAGGGTCCAGCAGTAGGCTAAACCAGATAAGCCTACGCTGAGGAGGCTCCTTCCCTGCCATGCGTACCCCGCCAAGGAAAGCCTAATACCTCACCATTGCCACCCCCACAGGGCAGTTCTGGATCCTCATCCAGAATGTCGCTTCTGCTAAATCCCTCATCTCTGTGCCCACCCCCATGATGCTGGTTCCTAAGGCCCCTGCCAAGCTGGGATCCTTCTCCATTTCACATCCCTGATGTCATCTTGCAACAGGCTGGGTCCAGGATGCCTTCCTCACGCTTGGCTCACTGCAAGGAGGAGACGGAAGCTCTGGGAAGTTCAGGGGCTGGCTCCGGGCAGGAGAGCCAGATCTGGCTAGAGAGCTCCTTGCCCCTCTCAGCTACAGCTGACCACCTGTCGTACTCAGGGACAGCCAGCCCTGTCTATGCCTTCACTCTATTATTCCCACCCCAAGGTCCAGGTATGCTGCACTATCTTCTTAGATTAAAGGGGTCTCTGAGACACTGAGGTTGCCTGCCCCTTCTCCAGAAGGGCTTTCAAACCAGGCCAGATGATCATGCTCTTAGCACATGTACACAGCTAGTCAAGGTGCTGTGCACAGGCCCCAGGGACTACAGTCACAAATGCAAGGAGAGGCTCGGCGCCTATAGCTCAAGCGGCTAAGGCACCAGCCACATACACCTAAGGTGGCAGGTTCGAATCCCCAGCCCGGGCCCGCCAAACAACAATGATGGCTGCAACCAAAAAATGGCCAGGCATCGTGGTGGGCGCCTGTAGTCCCAGCTACTTGGGAGGCTGAGGCAGGAGAGTCACTTGAGCCCAGGAGTTGGAGGTTGCTGTGAGCTGTGATGCCACGGCACTCTACCCAGGGGGATAGCTTGAGACTCCGTCTCAAAAAAAAAAAAAAAATGCGAGGAGAGCTTGTATATGAAGCCAGGGCTGCTGTCACCAAGTCCCATAGACTGGGTTACTTAAATAACAGAAATTAATTTTCTCATGGTGCTGGAGGCTGGAAGCCTGAAATCAAGGGTGGGCTACTTCTGAGGCCTTGTCTCATCCATCTCTCCCTGTGTCTTCTTCACATGGTCTTCCTTCAGCCTGAATGTGTCCCAATTTCTTCTTACAGGACACCAGTTGAATTGAATCAGGGCCCACCCAGTGACTTGACTTCATGTTACCTTAATTACTTCTTTCAAGGCCCTATCTCCAAATTCAGTCATATTGTGAGGTAGTGTGGGTGAGGACTTCAACGTAAGAATCTGGGGAGGATAAGGTTCAGTCCTTGTAGCCTCTAAGGGGAAGGAATGGCTGGAGTTCTACAGGAAGTGGGGACCCTAGCAGAGGGTCCAGAGTTAGAGATGTGCAGAATACAGGGAGTGGCCTGGAGGCAAGGAGGCCTGACCATTGGAGCTAAGTGTGAGGGAAGATGCGTCAGCGTTTCTGGTGAGGTCAGTGCCCAGTGACGTCCCTCTCATCAGCAGGAAAAGCTTGCAACATGGCCCAGCCAGTATAAATAGGCTCCCCAACCACAGGAGCTGTCCCCTCTTCCCGGGCCACGTCAGCCAGGTCCTCGTGACTTGGAGGGGAAGAGAGGACAGGCTTGGTTCCTCAGAACTGCTGTTTCCTGGCCTTTCCAGTCCACCCTCCAGCTGCTGGTGGCCTTGTCTGGGATGGCCTGGTGGGCAGGGCAAAGCTAGAGGCAAAGGACCCACTCCACCGGGGAGCAGAAGGCAGACCCCAGCCTGCTGGGTGGAAGGTGGAGCCCAATCCAAGTTCCAGTCTCAATCTGCAGTTAGCCCCGGTGTTCTTGGCCCAGTCACATCCCTTTTGTGAGCCTCTGTAAACTGCAATGACATAACAACAGTGACAAAAAGACAAACAATCCAATTCAAAAACGGGCAAAGGATTTGAACAGACATTTCTGAAGAAAGAGGTGCGAGTGGCCACTAAGCATGTGAAATGGTGCTCGACTTGAGGAAAATGCAGAGCAAAGCCACCGTGAGATACACTTCAGACCCACTGAGCTGGCTGTCACCAAAGATAGACAAGTGTTGGTGAGGATGTGAGAAATTGGAAACTTGGTACATTGCTGATGGAAATGGTACAGCCAAATTGGAAAAGAGTTTGGCAGGGCCGGGCATAGTGGCTCATGCCTGTAATCCCAGTGCTTTGGGAGGCCAAGGCAGGAGGATCACTTGAGTTTGAGGAGTTTGAGACCAGCCTGGGCAACGTGGCTCCATCTTTACAAAAAAATTTAAAATTACTTGGGTGTGGTGTCTCACACCCATGGTCCCAGCTGCTTGGGAGGCTGAGGCAGAAAGATCTCTTGAGCCTAAGAGTTTGAGATTGCTATGAGCTATGACACCTCGGTCCTCTACCCTGGGTGACAGAGTGAGACTCTGCCTCAAAAAAAAACAAAAATCTGAAATTAAATGGTGGTGATGGTTGTCAACCTTGTGAATGAATATACTAAAAGTCACTGGAATACAGGGTATGCATGAAGTCCGTGTGCTGTGCAATCTACAATGTAACTATTTTAAATTGCACATGAACTTTATGGACACTTTATATACACTTTAAAATGATAACTTTGATGGTATATGAATTGCATCTGAATTATTTAAATGCGTACCTCCTAGGAGGACCAGTGGATTTCGGTGAGATGATGCACGCAAGCACCTGATGCATCACAGTGGATGCATAAACACTTACCCACCAGCCGCTGGGGCCAGATGAAGGAGGAGAATTGCTTACGTCATGGGGTGACTTTGAGGGCAGTTGGGAAAGGCGGTGTTACATAAATCCCAGGGTGAGCAAAGATCTACCAAGGCGCTCTCCTCAGGAGGTCATCAAGGCCACCTTGGGCTTGGGGGAACCCTGGGCTCACAGACTGCCACAGAGTTTTTCTGGGACCTTGTGTGTCCACAAGTGTAGGAAATCATGTCCCCCGCCTGGTGCCCAGTGGTTCTCCCAAATTAAGTGACTGACCTGCCTTCCAGGGGCCTGAGCACATATGCAGAGAAGTACAACCTAGACAGAGGGCAAGAGAAAGGGAGACAGAGGGGAGACACTCCCTTCTATTCAGTAATCTCTTACCACCTGGAGATGAATCCACAGGTCCTCAGACCAGGACCCTGGCACAGGGAGCCCCAGCCCATGGGGAAGGCAGGTGCAAGACTGTTACCACACTGACTGGAATGGCAAGGGTGCTGCTCAGCTGTCCACCTTCTGGTGGCCTGAAATACCCTCCACTGCCCTCTCTGTACCCGGGGTCTATTCTGTGAGATGAGGGGAGTGGCAAGATGACCATAGAGAGCTCACAATCTTACAGAGCCGGACAGAGGCCGTAGTGGATCTAAACAGTGAAATGTCACTCTAAATGAAAAAAAAAAAAAAACCCCAAAAGCTTTACCGTTGAACAAAGGAAG